CCAGTTGCTTGTGCACAGTTGTCTTCTCGCGGATAGAACGTTTCAGAATCTAAAACTCTTCGCAAACTTGATTATTTCCTTCAATTTTGCCGGTGGTTTAAAAATATTAAAGGCTAACGAATTTGATAACAAATTTTGCATGCAGGCGCAATTAGTATAGGTAATCACACGGGAAGGAGTGCAATTAATGATTAACACTACGAGTGATATTTGAAAATGTGCTAAAATTGCACGAGCCGCCGAGGCGAGTGCAATTTGGCACATTTTTCAAATATCACGAGTAGTGTTAATCATTAATTGCACGACTTGCCCGTGTGATTATTTATTTATTATATGCATGACAAAATCGCTTTCTTTATATTTCAACTGCATTTTGTCAAGAGTTTTTAATTCCTTTGTAAGCAATTTAGTATAAACAAACTTGGAAAATGATTATAAACTCACAAAGGCACATAACTTAAACTAGAACACAAGATTCAAATTCAAACAACATATTTTAGACTAAGAAAATCTTTATAAATTGAATTTCAAACTTACATAGTCACGTTTCGCTGCATCCCGCCAAGATTATTTCTTAAAAATGTTTCCAGGTATTTTCCACAGGCTCTTCTTGCCATACAATGTTTCTTAAACTCATTCTTGTGCCAAAATTCAGTTAAATTCGTCCACATTTGTTAGAAATAATTAGCTAAATTTCGCCGCCATATTGGATTTTGTTGTTTTGATTTCCCGCTCCCCCCAGCCATCACGAAAATCATTAATTGCACTCCTGGAGAGTGCAATTAATGAAATAATTGCACTCCTCTTAACCAATCAGATTGCAGTAATTTTGTCATGTATATAATAAATTGCGTAATCGTATTTTGAAAAGGCAAAGTGCAAGGAGAACAAACTTGATATTCTCTTGGTCGTTGATGGATCTGGTAGTGTCCAGAAAAAAAATTTTGCAAAAGTGAAACAATTTATTCAAAAGCTCAATACAAGGTTTGATATTGGACTGGAGAAGACTCGAGTAGCGTTAATGCAGTTTGGTAAATCTAGTGAAACAAAAATTGAATTCAATCTTGGTGAAAAGGAAACGCTGCAGGAAGTGAACCAAGGCGTTCAGGGAATGGAATATCTTAATTCAGGAACCTCCACTGGTGATGCGTTACGCAGAAGCAGAGAAGAGGTAAGGTTTTCACGTCAACTTTTACAACATTATTTTATGTATTTGCGAAGCTGTATTAGACCGTTTCTGTCTACTATAGCTTCTCTTTAACATGACTTCTTATAATGCTGGTTTCTAAATAGGATATTACATGAAACATCTTTCAGCACCTAAGCAGATTAATAATACACTTTAGTCAAAAACTGCGAGCTCTTCCTGCAATACCAAACGAAAATCCATCCTATATAGGATACACTTTAATTAATAGACAAGAAATTGTGCATAAGATCTCAACCTCGTACCAGGGTCTTACCTATGTAAAAGACCCTGGTTGGGGCTGGTCACGTGAATTTACAAAAATATATTGGCTAAGGGGGGAGGGCAGAGTTTCAAATTGCATGCTTCCACAAAAAACGTTACACTTCCATTACAAGGAGTGGATCAGAGTGATCTAAATTATATTTCGTCATTTTTTCGATGCATGGTTTGAAATGCCTGTTAATTTTTGTGTTTTTCTATTTGCTTTTTAATTACAATTTAAAACATTTTAAAATTTTGTCAACAGTCAAGTCAACAATTAAAGCTAGAAAATCGCATGCTTTGAAGATGTTTCGTATCAAATCGGTCACTAGAGGTCAGTTGACAGTTGTTCTAAATACTGTTTTTATATTTCTAATGTTTCTATAAAAAAAATGCCATAAGATTTGCTAATTGTTGTTTGCAAATGTTGATAGGCTTTGAACCGATTTACTTGAAACTGTACGCGTCTTACTTTGTTGAAGGAATGAAGGCTGATAATTTTCAAAAGTAACTATATCACAAGTATGTAAGCCAATGGCAATATCAATGTGAAACATTTGGCCTCTAGCTAAACAGATAGAATGTCTACTTTAGGTAATAAAAGGTAATAATCTTTAGGTAATAATCTGTGATTTATCTTTGAATGTAGTTCATCCGCGCGTCATCGTTTTTATTGAAAACTTTAGGAGAGTGAGTATAGACTATAGTATAGGTAGTAAAGTACAAAAATTCTCAGGTGAATGTAATAATCCTCTGCCTCGGGCAACACACATGCATGCGCTGTCCTTTTTGGGGCAGTTAATATATAGCCTCCATGCATGAATCAAGCAAAAGAATAACCAGGGCATTTTTTAACTACCTTATTATAGGAAATTAACGATGCACTTTATTAACCCGGATTTTAAAAATTCGCGTTAATTTAATTAATGTTAATTTATGTGATCGTTAATTTTAAGTATGTAATTTTCATTTATCGTTAGTTAAAAATACCTAGATTTGTTTTATATAACACTAACTCTTTTAATATCAAAATACAGCATATTAACGTAAACTAAAAACATCAGTGCTCCTCTTAACATTAAACCCTTGTTATTGTTGTGTCTATATTTTCCGATTCGCGTTAATTTAATTAATTTGTCAACCATGGAGATCAGAATCGCGTTAATATAATCATGTTTTAAAAGACCAAGAAGCAATCCGAGTTAATTTGATGTCGCGTTAATTTATGTCGCGTTAATAAAGTGCATCGTTAATTTCCTATAATAAGGTATATAATAACTACTGGGGCATTTACCGCAGTGGGCCTTTGTTTGCCCCAGTAGCGAAGCAAGATTCTCAGATGAACTGGGCCCTTTTGCATGATCATTAGTAAAAAGTAAACCTTGTTGAAAAGGCCGCATCTGCCTGCTTTCTCGTATCCTCTCACATTCTCGAAATTCCATCTTATAAAAGTCAGAACACTCAACGGTGGTGCTAAACGGGTGGGTGGTGGATGGGTGTGGGTGTTGGAACACCTCCAATCATCAGGTAGTCGGCAAATTATCTAACTGATCCAAGTTGGATAGGAAGGAAAGAAACTAAAATATTTGAGTGACACTGATCAAAAACTAATATTTATTACAAATTTCACCATTAACACTTTGTTTGGAAAATATTAGTCCAACAAAAGAGGAATAAAAGGAGAATCACACAATGAAGTGGGCACAGTGGCGGCGGAACAGGGGGGCTAGGGGGACTAAAGCCCCCCCCCCCAGAAGTAAAAGTGGGGGGCTTAGCCCCCCAGAAAATTTTGTTTTTTCTGGAAACATTTTGATAATTAAGGAAAAATTTAGGGTAGTTTTGGAAAATTTAGGTATAAGGGGAAAAATTTGCAATATTTTGTTTAATTAAAAAATGTGTATGTTCGGAAAATTTTTTTGTTATAGGTCCTGAAAAATTTTTTTCGCGCCTTTTTTGTATGTGTCCAGAGGGGGGGGGGGGAGAAAATTTTAATCCCCCAAAAAAATTTGCCCCCCCCCAAAAAATAAAATATGTTCCGCCGCCCCTGAGTCAATTTCATTTTGCAGTTGTGCCAATAGAAGCGTTCCGAAAAATGTTGATCAGTTCATTTCCTAACTTCGAGGAGTTCCCCTCAATAATTTGATAAGTTCCTTAAAAGGTTCCTAACTTCCTGTTTCATTGACCAATCAGATTGCTCAAAAATAAGATATAAAATTTGATTGGTCAATGAAACAGGAAGTTAGGAACTTTTTAAGGAACGTATCAAATTATTGAGGGGAACTCCTCGAAGTTAGAAAATGAACTGGTAAACATTTTTCGGAACGCTTCTATTGGAACGACTGTAAAATGAAATTGAACTGCTCGAGATTACAATATATTTTTAGTAACGATAAAAGTGTGCTAATAGGCGTGCCTTTGCATTGTTTATTTTTACATTTGACAGCATCGGCATGTTCCCTTGCCACTCCTCCCTGAGTGTTTTTAAATTAAAACGCTAATTGAAAACACCCCAGATTTTGGGGTGTCACGTGACCAGCCCCAACGAAGGTCGTTCCGCAGCGGGAGGGCGAGCGAAGGTAAGAGCCTGGGTACAAGGTTGATAAGATCTCTGTGCTTAAGATCTCCGATTACTAACTAATTTAATTGAGCTGCTTAATAGCCTTGGTAAAAATGTCTAGGTATAGTGGTGGATTGAAAAGTGCTTCGCCCAATTTTACAGAATGTTTACATCACGCTCAATTCAATTCAAGCTGAAAACGTGCATGTTCCGATCGAAACATGCATGTCAATGCTTTGAAATGGTGCATGACTCCCCCGGACGATAAGTCTTTGCTAGTTCTCACATTAGGATTGAAATATTACATAAATCATAACAATACATGTATGTCAAACTAATATGTCATAAACCTAAGCAATATATACAGTATGATTAAAGATATGCAACATGCAGATCGATTTCAAGGAAAGAGTAGAGTTAGGAAAAAGCAATTATGTATACATACATAGAGATGTACATACCATTATTCAGCTCACTCTTCATCAAGACTTTTGAGTGACAGATTATATATCAAGTATTACACTGACTTACTTAATATATTACTTCACCTATTTAGCCTAGAATATTTATAGGTACTGTACAACAATGATTGCGACAGTACTTTCATTACTATGTTTACCCTGTCAACTTTCCTTGTGGGTGGAAACTGGAGCGCCCAGAGAAAACCCGCGACTTTCGGCAGAGCGTTGAACTCTTTTCACACGATTCTGAAGCGAGAATCTACCCCGCGATTTTCGAAGTGAAAGCCTTGCTCATCATCATACAATGAAATTCTATTTTAATATTCACAGATTTTCAATGGGGAAGGCATTGATCGCATTGATGCTCCCAACGTCCTTCTGCTGTTCACCGATGGGCAAGCTACGGATAAACAAGGAAAACAAGTTGAACAAGCAAAAAAGCTGAAAGACGATGGAGTGAAAGTTATTACCGTGGGAATGGGAGAAAGAGAAACAATTGACAACTTTCGTGAAAAATTGAGAGAAATGGCAAGCAGAGATAGTGATAGTGCTGCACCTTTGATGTTTGAAACAGCTTTTGAATATTTAGATTTGATTGCCAATAATCTTGTCGAGGAAGCATGTGATACTTCGGCAGCCGGCTGAGAATTTTGGAAGAATTTACTCCATTTCTGGACATTTTATGTTTAAGTAACTAATATGTGTGAGTTTGTACTTCAACATTGAATTGTCCATGTAACAATACATATATGTATTTGCTTTTATGCCTGCTTCTTCTTATGTATATTTAATATAAGCAGTTAAGGTTTATCTGGAATGAAGTTAATAAAAATTTTACACACACGAATCTCATTAAACAACTTTTCAACGAAGCGTTTTCATTAGATACAGGGGCAGGATACACGTGACGTAATGTAAGACAATTTGCATATTAAAATTGAAATAAGTACGTCCAAAAGGAAGCATAGAACGAAAAATCTGAAAGTTGCGCTATACAGGGTGTATAAAAAAAACGTCCCAAATGGGAAATTTCCTCAAACCAAGGCAAATTAGGAGTCTTTTGGTATGTGCAGGACAAAAAAATATTTTCGAAAGTAAATTTATGCTACCAGCGGGGGGTGCTTCTTATCGTCCAAGTTTGAAACGGCTTGCGCACAAAACTTTCAAGCTAAAATTGGGATATCATTCAACTGGTTACAAGTATGAACGATGTTTAATTAATAAACTGTCAAAGTTTCACAAAAAATGGTGCTTATTAAAAGGAACTCGAAACCCCTAAAGTTGCCACATTTTCCATTACGCGCAGTTGATTCAACGCATAATTGATTTTAGCGTGACCGATCTCATGCAAGGATGGGCACATGAATAAATTTAAGCAAACAATATAAAAAAGCGATTTAATAAGCAGTTGTTTTGGTTCGTTAGTTTTGAGGACTAGCATAATGAATCAAAACAACTGCTTATTAAATCGCTTTTTTATGTGTTCAATTGTTTCATGTGCCCATTGTTTCATGTGCCGAATTCATGTGCCCATCCTTGCATGAGATCGGTCACGCTAAAATCAATTATGCCTTGAATCAACTGCGCGTAATGGATGTGGCAACTTTAGGGGTTTCGCGTTCCTTTTAATAAGCACCATTCTTCGTGAAACTTTGACAGTTTATTAAACACCGTTCATACCTGTAACCAGTTGAATAATATCCCAATTTTAGCTTGACGATAAGAAGCACCCCCTCTGGTAGCATAAATTTACTTTCGAAAATATTTTTTTGTCCTGCACATACCCAAAGACTCCTAATTTGCCTTGGTTACACAAAATATCCCAAACTTTGCGGAATATCTGAGTTTGAGGAAATTTCCCATCCGGGACGTTTTATTTTATACACCCTGTATAGTATTAGCTTGGATTGAGTGCACCGCTACTGTGAACTCGTAAAGCCCGTTTTCCACTCACGTATTTCGCCCCCGCTGGCGAAAAATTTCGCCACCGAAAAAGTTCATTTGTTGTTCTTTCGCGCCGTCAACGAAAGGTCAAACAGAAGTTGAAAATTTTAAGCAACTGTAGCAGGAGAATAAATTTCTTCAGCGGCGAATGAATGTAAAAAAATGATTTCTTTGTCAAAATGTTTCGCCAGCGGCGGCGAAATAACCGAATGGAAAATGAGCATAAGCGTACGGTGCATGCTGACCCTTTCTGGCGGTGACTGGAAGATTTGATCAAATTTGATCAAATTCGATAAATTCAAATTCGATAAATTTGATCAAATTTTCTTACCATTTGTCCAAATTTCCTTGTTCTTTCCTGGGGAGGGTGAAAAATTGCTTGCCCTCCTTGTCTCGTACGCTGATGGCAAGATTTGCTGCAATCTATTGGTACAAGTACAACGTTGGACACAACCCTTGCGTCCATTCCAGCCAATATTATACAAAGTTAATGCACATTGACAAAATAAATTTCGTCACCCCTCTCCCTCACAGAACAGTTCCATGTTAAAAACAACTCCGAAACAACTTTTCGTCAAACGGCAAAAGCCAGGCAAAGAAAATCTTACTGTATCAGGCAATAAAGAGTAATCACGCTTTCCGAAAGTCTCGCAACATCCCGCGTGCATGGATCACGCAATCCTGCACGGAAAACCATTCGGTATTCCTTTAATCCTGCACGAGGAATTAAAATGCCTTCGCGGGGATTTTCGCGAGATTCTCAAAATGTCATTGGTTCACTGTAGTTATTTTATAAAACAATTACCAAATGGTTTCCCAAGCAGGATAGCGTGATCCATGCACTTGGGATGTTGCTCGACATTCGGAAAGCGTATTTTTACACTTTCCGAAAGTCTCGCGGCATCCCTCGTGCATGGATCACGCAATCCTGCACGGAAAACCATTTGGTATTCCTTTACTACTTACACACTATCCGCTGATCGTCGTCATCGAGCGTAAAACGTACCACTTGTGAAATAAATTATTTTTCGATCGTTTTTTCAGCAAAAACAGTTAGCTGAACATCGTTCACATTGCGTTTTTATCAGTTATGCGGCGATTTCTTGCAAGTAATTCGCTGGCAATTCTCTCGTTGATTGCGATTAAAAATAGCCAGCGGGAGAGTCGAGAGGGACAGGGGGCCCGTATTCACCAATCGTCATTTTGTCCCGGGACCCGTGGTTGGCTGTCGTCGGCCTTGAGCGCGAGATATGGACTACATTGGAATGGCAGCAAACACATTCAGAAGAACAATATCGAAACCACAGTAAATCTCTAGAGGTAAATCTCATCAAAACGAAAAGTAGTCAAATGATTCTTAAATTTAATTGTCTTTCGAAATCTCTTTGGAAGTTAAATAAAGATAATCAAGATTTCAACGTATCTTGGCCGTATAAATCTTAATAAAGCACGCAAGTTCTTACTCGGGAGATTCAAAAAGATGCAATTTATGTTTGAAAGTAAAACTTTGTATCACTGAAGAAGAAAACAACCAATCCTTGTTTGTTACTTAATAAACGTTTGTAGCAGGATTAGTTATCAACAGTTACTAACGTATTAATATATACGAACAATGGGACATACTAACGGAATAAGAATACAACAACTAAACAAAGTTTGAAAGCAGTTTTGTTCTGTAAGCACAAAAGTCAAATTCCAAGTAAGTAACCTAATGTTTGAATGGTCACAAACGTTTAAGCCGCTCACGTTTCAAAATTTGTCAATCCCGTTAAGTTTCATTCATTGGATGAAACAGGTTGTGGTGGTAATCTTGAAGAAAAACAAAACTAGGCCCTTTAAATAAATAAGCTATCTATATTCTTTCGAGCATTTAGCCAAAAACGCTTACATACATGTATATATTCCTTCTCAGGTACGCAAGATATGCTACATTTATTGTGAAGCATCCATATATTCTTCTCGTATTGATCACATGCAGTGTTGGTGATTTTATCGGGAAGTTTTAGTTTTATTCTACAGCTTGGAGCACAGCCAATACCGGACTTCACTAAGCCTTTCAAGGTACGTCTTTTCAAAATTGCAGCGTTTGATTGGGAATCCTAATGGTCCGAGAACTCCGGCAAAATGTTTGGTATGTTTCAAATCACTCTTCTATGGTTTTGGAAAAAAAAGGAGGCCTTAATTGACGTGAGATGTTTCAAATTTATTAAACTCCAAAGTCAATTACTGGAAAGTCACGCCAAGAATATAACATTATTTCTGTGAGGTTTTTTCAAGGGATTTGAAGTATGAGGTACGATATTCAGTGATCGTTGACGAAGTCAAGTTAACCTTTTTTCTAGAAAACACAGACGCGAAATCACTAGAGTTCCTGTTAGATGTGGAATAAAGTGTCCAATAGGCGAACAGGAGATTGGAGACGCTCCTGCAATATGCAGTAAAGAACAAAAATTTAATCAGGCTATTCTGACAGTAAAACTTGTGTTTATATTTTAGTACTAAGAATGGACAAAACTTACTGACAGCGGAGAACTTAAAATCCATTTACCGTTTAGAACAGAGGATAGTTCGCAAATACAAAAACTTTGAAGAATATTGTCACAAAGAGAATGAGACGCAGCATTGTTGCCCCAGTTGGTCTGTGGGACATTACACTGCACTTTTAAATGGTAATCCCTCGTGTTTAAATATACATAAAACTGAAGTGAAAAAAGCAAATAGTCAACTGCATGGCGATATGTTCCAAATACTACCATGACGGCACGTTGAAATCTGACTGTTGGGATTTTGCGAAGAATGGAAAAGGAGTAGGAAGATGTAGCCAAGTTCCAGACACTTGCACAACGTTCAATGCGGTTTACAACATATTTCATTATCTTACTGATAGATATTTCTTGTCTGATGGGTCGAATTCCAGCCTATTCCTTCGCTATAGCCTTGTACTTGTTCCTGTTAAAGAAAACGAACATTTTCAAGTTGGTATTTATAAATCATATCTGAAAGATGGTGACATACTGTAAGCGACGGTAATGTTGTACTATCCGGATATGAACTGAGTAAACTGAAGTCTGAAATCTTCAACGAACTTATGTTGGCTGATTTATATCTCGCTGCAATTGTAATGCTCATTATTATGATTATTCTCTGGGTGTACACTCGTTCATTCCTTGTCACATCCTTGGTTGAACTTATTGTAGTGTCAAGTTTAGTTATAGCTTATTTCATGTATACCATTGTGCTTGGCATGACGTTTTTCCCGTTTTTGATTATTCTCACCTCCGTGATCTTGGTCGGTATTGTCGCTGACGATGCCTTTGTTTATATAGACATTTGGACTCAGTCCATGTGCGAACATAAAGCGAAACGCAAGGGACCTCTAGTCTAGGACCTGTATATGAGTTTGTATGCGATTAATTTAGGACAGGTAATCTCAACTGTTTTAGGGTAAAATGACCATGGCGGTCAACATGGCATATGTGCGAAAACCTGAATCCGGGGCGAAAGTCCTGAAAATGACCCCGCCCTGAAACGGCAGTGTCGACATAGCTCTAACTTCTGAAAAGGAAAAGCAATAGCCTTTCTGAAGAGCTTGTAGTGTTTAGAAGGGTTGCTTTTAGGGGTGGTTATTGGAAGGAAAAATTTGTCTAAGTATAATATTTTACCAGAAAATGACCATGCACCACCCCAGTTAAAATGCTGATTATGCACAAAATAACTAATATGCCTGGCAGAAATTCAATTTTCTTATTTCCTAAAAAAAATTATCATGGGATGAAAAACTATGCTTAGTTCAATATAATTATTGTGGATTTCATAAGGATTGTCATTGTTTTCTTTTAATATAATACATTTTACTTCACTTACCCCCCACGAAAACACGATTTCAGCCATATTTTGACGTCTTGTTTGCTTTTTATCGCCGAGTCTCGCAAATATAATCCAGTCGTTGTACTTTTACTTAATCATAAACGGCTAAAGAGTATTTCACCCAAGTTTCATGAAGTTTTGGAACTGTGCAGTGTATTTTATCTTCGATATTATGTCCTTCGATATTTCGTCAAATTGCCGCCATTTTAATGGCTCGCCGCTTCTCTGTTCGATAAATGCCACTTCTCCATTCTCATATGTATTTAGATTACAGTATCCAAGAGTACTTCATTGTAGAACAGACCCAATCGAAAAGTTGACAAAATTTGTCCCATTTGGGACGAAAAACCATCCCGTATACCATTTGGGTTCAAAATAAAAAACAAATCATTTGAAAGTCACGCGCAATCTTCGCGAAAACTTCTCGTGGACACATGACAGGGGGGGTTGAATATTTTCACGAATATGTTCGCCACCACAGAAACATAACTAAATATATTGTATTTATTGTATTTTTATGATTTATGACAAAACTACGCAAATATTTATTGTTTT